TATTATGTATGTGTGACTATCTACTGAGAAGCAAATTATTTACTGAAACAAGATAATTTCAAACAAATTGGTATTATACCAAAAAGGAAGAAATTCCACATACCACAAAAAAGTTCTAATTTCCCTACAATGAGTGCATTTACATGAGGTATCACAGCTCATGGTTTAGAATCTCATGCTAAATTTTCCCTTTTACTTGGCTGTTATTCATGTGAGATCTGCTAAGATTTACATGATCAAAGTTTATAAACTACGGTATCAAACTACATAGAGATTTTAAGAATGGCATTGTAACAGTAAATGTAGTTGAGAAAATTTGAAAGTTGTAATTCCACAGTAACTATGTTACCTTTTTATTTCCTTCTCAAAGAAAACAGGTAAAAGTCACTTTTAGCATATTGTTTCTTTCAATATGATTCATGACATCATATCATTTTGCATATTCACTGAGTTTGTTTTGAAATTTGTGTGACATTAACATACAGAAAAGCGTTAAGTATATAATAGATATTTTACAGTTAGGAGAAACATTCCTATTGGAATGCTTTGTGTAAGAAAATGAATACTTCCCTATGAAAAGATACTAACTGCACCTGTGGAGAGATGCATTGATTTGAGAGCTACATGTATGGCACTCTCAGGGCTTAAGAGGAACTCTTTTTGCATTTCCTAATTGTCTCCAGTATGCCATTTCCTACTCTGCAGATTCCTTAGCTGTGTGTGTATGTCTCAGTCTTCTTCACTGCCTGTGTTTTGGTGAGAATCAAGTCTCACCTTGTCAGTTTATGTTTTCTCACAGAAATTCTTCAGTTCTCCAAGTTGAATTTTGAAGATTTTAATTTTTGGAATTAAATTTTGGAATTTTAATTCTGTAATAAAATCCCCCTCATTTTTGTAATGGCTGTACTGATACACATCCATACCACTAGTGAGAATCCCATGTGTGCATACCGTCATCAGTAGTTGCTATCCTTTGTCTTTTGACATATGCTCAGTGAAATTTTATAATTTTGAGGTGCATTTTCTGGTAGTGATATTGAGATATTTTTCCTATGTGCTTCAGCCATTTGCATTGTCTTCACATTAAAAATGTATACTTTAAATGAGATTTTCTGTCACTGATGTTGTTAATCCTTTTAATTACTAAAGCGAATGAATAATTCATTTAGTGGGAAATTTCAGCAATTCTTTCCTCAAAAAACTCGATTTACATCTTCATATCTCATCCTTTAAAGATAGAACAGAAATAACAAAGGAGGCTGTGAATTTGAAGATAGCTTAGCTCAATAGGAATTATTCAGTCTGAATAAAAGAGTGATTTACAAACGAACAGAGAGCATCAGGACAAAATATCAACAGGTCTAACTCTCTTGTCATTAAAATTTCAAAAGGAAAGGAGAAAGGGAGCAGAACAGAGAATTTGTTTGAAGAAATAAAACCTGAGAACTTCACAAACTTGATTCAAAATCGATGAGTTCAAGAAGCTCAGCAAACCACACACACACACACACACACACACGCGCGCGCGCACACACGCACACACGCACGCACGCATGCACACCAAATCCATATGACCCTTCATAATCAGATTGCTCAAAACTGATTATAGGAAAACAATGATCTCATGGCTGTAGATCTCTGATCAGAAACTATGAAGACCAAAAAAAAGGGACATTTTTATCATGCTATACAAATGTTAGCCCAGAACTCTATATTTTGTAAAAATATCCACGACAAATAAACATGAAGTAAATAAAGATGTTGTCACAGGTGGGAAAATTAGGAGTAAATATACTATCTGTTAGACCTGTTGTTTAAAAAAAAAAAAATGACAAACAGTTCTTCAGGGAGCAAAGAAAAGACACCAGAAGAAAACTGCAAACATCATAACCAAAAGGGGAGCAACAAAAAATGAAAATATCTGGGTAAATATAACAAATTATTCCTCTTTGAATTCTTTAAAATGTTGGGTGGTTAAAAGCAAAAATCAAGGACTTGGGAGATAGCTCAGTAGAATAAGTGCTTGCCTGGCAAGTGCGAGATCCTGAGTTCAATCCCAGTACCACAAAAAAAAAAAAAAAAAAAAAAAAAGCAAAAATCATAATCTTATCTGGTGGAGTTTTCTGTATGCAGACACAATGGAAGACAGCTGTCATAAGTGGGGGAGGTGAAGGGACTAATGGGAGTTTCTATCAAGCCCTTTGCTGCCTCCAAGGCCTTGGTACTTGCTGCTTCCTGTTTAGATGGCTGTTTCCCTAGCTGTCACATACTGGGCTTGTTCTCATGGATAAGGTATTTTAAAAATTTATTTATTTATTTATTTATTTATTTATTTATTTATTTATTTGGTACAGAGTCTTGCTGTGCCGCTCAGACTTGTAGTGATTCTCCTATTTCAGCCCTCCCCAGAGTTGGGATTACCGGTGTGCGCCACCATGCCAGGTTTCAGTGGCCAGCTCAGTATTTGGTGGCTCATCTAGGGGGGCCGGTACATGTGGTACTGAGGCTCAAACCCAGGTGCTTGTGCTTGCCAGGCAGGTGCTTAGATTGCTGAGCTATCTCCCTGGCCCCATAAAATTTTATTTAAAAATAAAACATGTGTCCAAAACATTAAGATCATTAAAAAGGTAGTTGGTGATTTAAAACATTCATCACTCACATAGAAAAAAAAAAAAATCTACCACCACATACAGGCGCTGATTCCTTTCCCCCTCCCCAGGTAAGGCAAATTTTTTGGGTGACTATCTTTAGGGAGTTATCTTCTCCACAAAATTCCCTGCCAGTAGAGGCGGTTGGTTTTGTTCCCAGTTGATCCATGAGTAGATGGAACCCCTGGCCAGGTAAACGACTAGATTAGAACCTCACAGACAGAGGCTGATTCAAGAACAGACCTTGACATCTTGTTTGTTGATGCGGAGCTTTGTGTATTAGAAACAGCCAGGCCATCTGACTGTACTGAGTGTAGGCCAAAGTCTTTGTAAGATTTAGTGAATTTTTTTCTAGGTCTATAAGTAGAGCCTATCGTGGAATAAAAAGTAAGGATGACCTCCTCATTTATTTTTTACTTGAAATGACTTAAAAGAGATATTGTGCCAAATATCAGTCCAAATATTTCCCTAGAAACAAGAGTCACAGAGTACAGCTATTGAATACAGGAAGTGATTTCAAATAACCATTTTCCCATTTTAAAACCTATTTATGAGCTATTGTTTTGAGTGTTTTTATGACACCAAACAACAGAATAACCCAAGGAAGGGAGAAAATACCTAACACCTGCATCCTGTCTAGAGCACCTGTGGTTTTTTTTTTTGGTGGGGGGTTTGTTTTTCTTTTTTTGCAGTGCCAAGGATTGAACTTGGGACCGTGCGCTCCAGACATAGAGCCCCTATTTTTATTTTTAAGGCAACAGGAGCAAACATTCCTCATCCTCCCATCTTTGCAACACGATTCAAATAGTGGTTTAGAATGTTTCATATATAGTATCTTTCTTCCAAGTTGGTTCTCAAACACACCCGAATGCAAAATGAACATCTGTAAGCACAGGTTTGGGGCAGCTGGAGACAAGACTGGTGGTTGTCTAGCAGACAATTTATGGTTCAATCCTACCTTTGTGGAGACTAGTCAAGAGGTTTATGGAACTCTCCCCCCATGCACATTCCCATTTCTTTTCTTTTTTCCTCAGGAGAGCAGTCTTGTGAACAAAATGCAGACCTACATAAGGCAGATGGACATTTTATCAGTGGAATCAGCTATATAGATACTTAATTAAATACAGATTCTAGCTTACAGTTATTTCTAATTTCCTCTCAACATTTGAATAGATCTCAAGCCACCGGAAATCAGTTTTCTGAACTCTTTTAATCTGTTGCTTTGTTCCTCCAAATTTCACTCATTATCAGTCAAAGATGCTGCCCTGCCCACAACCCCACTCTCAAGCCTCTGCTCTTTTTTGTTCCTCTTTTCTTCTCAGAACTCTTCTCTCTTTTTGACGAGTGCCTGGCTCTCATCATTTACCTGTTTTGCCCAACTCTCAACATTTGCTTCTTTGCTTCCCGAGCCCGACACTGACAGCTGGCGTGTGTGCCTGAAGGCGGATGCTTACACACGTACAGAAGGGCTTGGAAGAGAGAGACACTCAAGGTGTAGTGGAGATAGGGCAAGTTTGGTGTTATTTCAAATTTCATGGCCTCTTTCAAAGATTGCATTCCAACCAAAAGCCACTTACACAAATGAGGATCACTGCACCGGACACTATTACATCCTATTATAAGCAATTGTCTCAATCTGGGCTACACATTTCCTTGTGTCCTGGACTTTGCAAGAAGTCTCAAGCAATACAATCTGGTATTTTTTTTTCTGGGCACATGAAATTCTGTTTTTCAGAGCCTCAGACTGACAGAGGCTGAAACCAAATATTTTAACCTGCAATTTACTTCTTTTGAGGTAAAACTGTATTTCAGTTCTTTATCTGTCTGACAGGACACTGGAGCAATCAATAAAAAGGCTATAACAAGCCCCTATTCCTGGTGATTGCCTTTGCACGGGGCCATCTTGCAGAGGGTTGTGGTCAAACCAAAGCCATTAGCATTACTGCTCCTATCCTCAGCAGTATCCTCCTGGCTTACTAGTAAGAACATGGACATACGCTGAACCTTCAGTGTGAGTCAGGTTCTTTTGCTTCATTTCAAAGAGCAGTCTGAGGCAAAGAACTATCTCTTCAGAGCTCAGCTCATTTGGGAGATGATGTAACAACACACCCTCACGCATGGCTCCTGGGTTGGCACTTTTGATAGTTATCTCAGTGCAACAGGGGGAGGGACTTTGTCCTTTCAGCAAATACCTAAGTAGAGCTCTGCTTTTTGCCCGAAGTGAAGGGTATAGAACTCAGCGTTCTCTTCTCTGGTACCATCTCAGCTATCTGTCTACAAGGTGTGAGCAGTGGACAGCCTCTTTTACAATAAATTTAGATCGAAAGGGTTGGAGCCGTATTGGAAGAACGGTGGCGACGGCGGTGTTCCTGAATGAGGGCAGAAAAGATGTGGGATCAAGGAGGACAGCCTTGGCAACAGTGGCCCTTGAACCAGCAACAATGGATGCAGTCATTCCAGCACCAGCAGGATCCAAGTCAGATTGACTGGGCTGCATTGGCTCAAGCTTGGATTGCCCAGAGAGAGGCTTCAGGACAGCAAAGCATAGTGGAACAACCTCCAGGAATGATGCCCAATGGACAAGAGATGTCTACAATGGAATCTGGTCCTAACAATCATGGGAATTTTCAAGGAGATTCAAACTTTAATAGGATGTGGCAACCAGAATGGGGAATGCATCAGCAGCCCCCACACCCCCCTCCAGATCAGCCATGGATGCCACCAACACCAGGCCCAGTGGACATTGTACCTCCTTCTGAAGACAGCAACAGTCAGGACAGTGGGGAATTTGCCCCTGACAACAGGCATATATTTAACCAGAACAATCACAACTTTGGTGGACCACCCGATAATTTTGCAGTGGGGCCAGTGAACCAGTTTGACTATCAGCATGGGGCTGCTTTTGGTCCACCGCAAGGTGGATTTCATCCTCCTTATTGACAACCAGGAACTCCAGGACCTCCAGCACCTCCCCAGAACCGAAGAGAAAGGCCATCATCATTCAGGGATTGGCAGCGGTCACCTATTGCACTTCCTGTGAAGCAGGAGCCTCCACAAATTGATGCAGTAAAACGCAGGACTCTTCCAGCTTGGATTTGTGAAGGTCTTGAAAAAATGGAATGTGAAAAGCAAAAGAAATTAGAAAAAGAAAGGATGGAACAGCAACGTTCACAGTTATCGAAAAAAGAAAAGAAGGCCACAGAAGATGCTCATGGAGGTGATGGCCCTCGTTTACCTCAGAGGAGTAAATTTGACAGCGATGAGGAAGATGAAGACCCTGAAAACACTGAGGCTGCGAGCAGTGGAAAAGTCACCAGAAGTCCATCTCCAGTTCAAGAAGAGCAGAGTGAGCCAGAGATGACGGAAGAAGAAAAAGAGTATCAAATGATGTTGCTGACAAAGATGCTTTTGACTGAAATTCTTCTGGATGTCACAGATGAAGAAATTTATTACATAGCCAAAGACACACATCGTAAAGCAACGAAAGCTCCTGCAAAACAGCTGGCACAGTCCAGTGCACTGGCTTCCCTCACTGGACTCGGTGGCCTGGGCGGTTATGGATCCGGAGACAGTGAAGATGAGCGGAGCGACAGAGGCTCTGAGTCCTCTGACACTGATGATGAGGAGTTACGGCACCGCATCCGGCAAAAACAGGAGGCTTTTTGGAGAAAAGAGAAAGAGCAGCAGCTACTGCACGATAAACAGATAGAAGAAGAAAAACAACAGACAGAAAGGGTTACAAAAGAAATGAATGAATTTATACACAAAGAGCAAAATAGCTTATCACATCTAGAAGCAAGAGAAGCAGATGGTGATGTGGTTAATGAAAAGAAAAGAACTACAAATGAAACGACATCTGTTTTAGAACCCAAAAAAGACCATAAAGAAAAAGAGAAACAAGGAAGGAGTAGATCAGGAAGTTCTAGCAGTAGATCCAGTAGCAACAGCAGAACTAGTAGTACCAGCAGTACTGTCTCTGGTTCTTCTTACAGTTCTAGCTCAGGCAGTAGTCACACTTCTTCTCGATCTTCTTCTCCTAAAAGAAAAAAGAGACATAGTAGGAGTAGATCTCCTGCAATTAAAGCTAGACGTAGCCAGAGTCGAAGCTACTCTCACAGAATTAAAATAGAGAGCAATAGGGCTAGGGTGAAGATTAGAGACAGGAGGAGATCTAATAGAAATAGCATTGAAAGAGAAAGACGACGAAATCGGAGTCCTTCCCGAGAGAGACGTAGAAGTAGAAGTCGCCCGAGGGATAGACGAACCAATCGTTCCAGTCGCAGTAGGAGTCGAGATAGACGTAAAATTGAGGATCAACGTGGAAATCTTAGTGGGAGCAGTCATAAGCATAAAGGTGAGGCTAAAGAACAAGAGAGGAAAAAGGAGAGGAGTCGAAGTATAGATAAAGACAGGAAAAAGAAAGAGAAAGAAAGGGAGCGTGAACAGGATAAAAGAAAAGAGAAACAAAAAAGGGAAGAAAAAGATTTTAAGTTCAGTAGTCAGGATGATAGATTAAAGAGGAAAAGAGAAAGTGAAAGAACATTCTCTAGGAGTGGTTCTATATCTGTTAAAATCATAAGACACGATTCTAGACAAGATAGTAAGAAAAGTACTGCCAAAGATAGTAAAAAGCATTCAGGCTCTGATTCTAGTGGAAGGAGCAGTTGTGAATCTCCAGGAAGTAGCAAAGAAAAGAAAGCTAAGAAGCCTAAACATAGTCGATCGCGATCCATGGAGAAATCTCAAAGGTCTGGTAAGAAGGCAAGCCGCAAACACAAGTCTAAGTCCCGATCAAGATCGACAACCCCTCCCCGTCGTAAGCACTGAGGAATGATGTGGCAAGCATGCCATGATGTTTTAAAAAATTCCATGAGTTTTAAGGGCTTGTCTCATTATAGAGGCACATTGTGGCTGTAGGTGAAACCAGAATCTTTTTTTTTTTTTAATCTGTAAATAGGTGTACTTTTTCCAAATGCTGCTCCAAGTTACTTAATAGGATTTCTTTGTATTACACTTTTTTCAAAAAATAGAGCATAATAAGACTATAAACATGCCATTCTCTTTCAGCTGTAATGTTCTTAAACTTATTCTTGAATGTACTGTGATGTCAATAAAGCTCTTTAGTTCATTTTTGTTAAAAAAATAAATTTAATAATTAATTAATTAATTAATGAAATGTTTTGCACAATTCTGTGCCCAGAAAAGAAACTTGGATTCTGAAAGTCCAATTAGCAGAATGCTATAGATTAATATCATCTAAAAATCTCAGCTGAGGAAAAATATTAGAAGAAATAAACAAAGGATAACTTGAGATGATGAGGAAGGAGGAGAAAGCCAGAGAAAAATATTTAAGCCCATGGACACTTCAGTAAGGCATAGATTCTATGCCTTGACCTGTGAAAGAAATCCCTTCTTTCCCCACTGGGTGGGGCTCAGCTCACACTATACAGGGCCCTGTTTCCGAATCCCCAGCAGCTGCCTGCTCTCTGTAGTCCATCAGGATTTCAGAAGAAAAAAGATACCAAGATCAAGATGTTTCTTCCAGATCAAGAGATCTCCAGGTGGAATCAGGATCTCTGGTGGTCTCTTCCAGTCATTACATGGACTCGGCGGTTTTGTTTGTTTTTTTCTTTTCCTTTTAAGTATATTTTCCTTTATGGGTTAGACTAACAAAATGTTTTCTTTTGTTTTGAGACAGGGTCTCACCATGTAGTCCAGGCTGGCCTAGAACTTGTGGCAATCCTCCTACCTCAGCCACCACAACCTGCTAGTCTTAAAATTTAAAAACACCAAATGAAACATTACTGAAGAAAGGTATGAATAATCAATAAAATACCTGAAAAGTGTTTTGGTTTTCTTTTTTCTTTCTTTTTTTTTTTTTTTTTTTTTTTTTTTTTTTTTTTTTTTTTTTTAGGGAAAGGGTCTACAGGATGTTCAGGGTTTCACTACTAGATTGGCCTCCTAGTGATCCACTTGTTAACAGCTTCCCAAGAGTTGGGGTTACAGGCACGTGCCACCCCACTCAGTCTCAATTGCCATCTCAGTGCGCCCCAGGGGTGGGACTGGCATGGCAGGCCCGGGGGGATAGAACCCTTGGCCCCTGCACCTTCTTGAAAGTGCTTTCACCCACTGAGCTATTTGTTTTTGTTTTTTTTTTCAAAATTTTATTGATAAACAGATAGCAATGAGACAGTTTCAAATCAAATCGGAAGTACAGTTTCAACAAATAATACACTGCATATCTTCTTCTTAGTGGTTAATTGCTGTACAAGATGCGGACTTGAAATCCTATTTACAAACACCATTAGAACAAATCATTCTATTCATTAAGAGAATGCAACTATATATCTATCCCAACCACTTTGAATACACAGATACAAAATGGACATTCATCGGTATACTCCATTTTTTCTAAGTTCCGTTATTGAATATTATAGGTGTATAAACTCAGCAAAATATTCTAAAAGAGTCCAGTAGCCCATAATAGCATTGGGTCTTCTGTTTAACTGGCAGTGTCAGAAATTATTGACCTGAGTCCCCCACAGTTCAGCATAACAACATGGCTTTACTTCCTATATTTCGTCTTTATACTTTTCTACTGGATGGTTAAGACCAAGGTAAAGCAGGACCTGTGCAACAAGAGTTGTAGCTTTTTGGTCTGAGAAGGTCAGTGAAATGCCCTCGGGATTTATCCTGAGATCCTGTACCTCAGATTGTAGAGCCTTTGTCAGTGCAGCCATGTGGATGAGTCACGGCCATTGCTTGGCCAATGTGCTCTCTGTGAAAGCCTGAGAGAGTGTCTTCTCCCCATGTGACTCTCCTTAGGCACACTCTATGTCATTGATCACTTTCCTCTTTGGCCCCATAATCTTCTTGATCAGAAAATTTGGGACACTACCGAGGTACATGATGTTACAGTACAAGTTCTCATATGTCCTGAGTCTTAATTGACCTTAGAAGGTTAGGGCCAAAATGTCCGCTGAGCTATTTGGCTGGCCCTTGTTTTTGTTTTCTTGCTAGTATATTTAATCAAATAAATAGGCGAGACTCTTGTTCTGCACCAAGAGTCTTATGGTGAAAACTTGTACAACATACCAGTCCAGATGGAAAGACTAACCTTGCCAGTCAGCCCCAGGCGAGGGCGGGAGAGGGAGTTCCCTTCTTCCCTGGGATTCCCACCTCCCTGCTCTCTTCCTTCCTGTCCTCTCTCTCAGCACTGCTTTCTGCAGTAGCTCATGCTCCCAGCTTGCAGTCAGAGGCAGCCCCAGCAGGACCCGCACTCTCTGCCACAGTCTTCCCTCAGGTTTCTTTCCAGGGAGCAGGAGCCCAGGGGTGGGGTGAAGGGGAGTCAAAGGAGGCTGCAGTGTAGGAAGGTCTGTTTTTCCTCCCCCTAGACACACAGCAAGTTAACCCCAGGAGAGCAGGAAGTCTTGTGGGGGATCTAATGACCCCTGTTGTTACCGCACAGCACAACAAAGCTTCCTGGACATTCGGGCTGCTCAGAAGCCTTGAGAAAAAGTTTTCAGTGAAGCCTCAGTCAGCCTTCCCTTTCCAATGAAGCCCTGTGCGCACCACGTGGTGGGCTAATTGGCATAGCTGTGGTCTCCTACAAGAGTTTCAGCAGAGCCAAGCTCCCTGCAATGCACATAAGCAGTTTGGAAGCCATAACTCAGACTGAACTTGCAGACCACTGCTTGGATTTGACTGAAGTGTTTTAGTGCCCCCTACCTGCCTGGTGATTCTGCCAAGTGTACAAGGTGCTCTCCTAATGCAGCCACCACCCCGCATTTACCAGATGGTCTTAGCCTCCCGCTCCTTTGATGCAGTTACACCCCGGAAAGAAGGAAGCTGTGTTCTCCCCACTTTGTTTGATAAGGTGAAAACAACTTGTTCACTCACTGCATATTATCAGAAAAAAAGGAGGAGAAGGAGAAGGAGAAGGAGAAGGAGAAGGAGAAGGAGAAGGAGAAGGAGAAGGAGAAGGAGAAGGAGAAGTAGCAAACATGCGGATGGAATTCATTACATACCTTCTGGGACCCCTTGGCTTCTGAATAGTTAGTTCTGCTATTGAGTCTCTCTTCCAAGTTTGCAGAGGCTCAAGGACTTACCCAGTCAGGGAAGATAATTTGCTGCCACTTCCTGCTAGTTGGCTTAAATAGGTTGTCAGGATGCTATACTCCCAACCAAAGCTCCCAGCAGGAGGTGGGGCCGCACATGTTTACAAGCGTGCTCACTTGTTCTGTGGATACTCAGGAGGAAGGGTATTTGCCGCTGGTGGAGAAACTGGAAGCTCTCTAATGAACTGCCCAGGCTCTCAGTCCTGACCTTATAGCCAGGTAATGTCACAAACTCCTCACGTCTTTGGAAGATCTGAGTTTGGTGCCTATATTCACTCATGTATCTGGACAACTAGGATACAGTGGAAGGGGGATGAGAGAGTCAGAAGTCCTGGGTTCCGCTCTGACTGCCACTTACATGCTCTGTGATTTTGAGCTGGTTTATCCTCCTTCTCCCAGCCTCAGTTGCTTGATCTGTAATGTGGGTGAACACTAACCCTAGTGGAAATACTGCCACATGACTTGATCTAACGTTGTTTGGTGGGACTCAGTGCACATGAACTGTGTGTAAATCTGGGGGAGCGCATTGTGGCCACAGGGAGATTTGGCCTCACAGTAGATTCCACTGGGTGAAGTGGTGCACAACTGTAATCTCAGCACTTGGGAGCTTGAGGCCGGCATTCAAAGAGCTACATAATGAATTCAAGCCCAGCTTGAGCTACACAGTGAGACCTTGTCTCAGAAAGAAAAAGAAAAAGCTTCCACAATTATAAATGTCAGCCCACAGATGGGGTTCATTGATTCCTAAATTCTCTTGTGTTATTGCAACTTTTTGTAGGAAGCATAGTCCTAAAATGAAATGGTAGAAAAAAAACTGAACTGGAAGTCAAACAGTAAGTGTTCTAATTCAGATTCTGGACAAAACCAGGACAAATTTGGCAAGCTATTTAACACTACATTTGTTCCTTCCCGCATATAATAGCAATAACTGTATCGTACTTTCCTAAAGCATAGTGAAGTTGTGAATCTTAAAAAGAATAACACCTTCCAGGTGTGGTGGCCAGAAGCTGTTTCCCCAGTTAATTGGGAGGCTGTCTCAAAGATCACTAGGATCCAGGAATTCAAGGAAAGCTTTAAGAAAAGGGAAGGTCGAGTGTGTGAAATACATAGACCATTCAAAAATGAAACTTATTGTTAGCTCGATCAATGATTTCATAAGCTCCTAGCAACCTAAGAGCACTTAGTACACTCCGGGAAGCTGTCTTAGTCCTTTTTATTCACTTTAACAAGACTGGCTAATTTATAAGAAAAGAGGTTTACTTTGGCTTATGGGTCTGGAAATTCAAGAGCATGATACTAGTATCTGCTCTACTTTTGACGAGTGCCTCAGGGCAGACAACTGGAAGAGGAAGTGTTTGCATGTAGAAGGAACACAGTGAGAGCCGAGGGGAGTTGCAAGGCCTGGTTATAATGACTTGCTCTTGTGATAATTGACCGACTCTCACAAGAACTACAGTAACTCCTTCGGGAGGGTAGGTCCTTTAAGAGGCATCACCTCCCAACACCGACACTATTACACTGAGTGCCAGCTCTCATCATGAGTTCTGGGGGACACAAACCACACTCAAATCAGAGCAGAAGCCTACCTAAAATTTAGTTGAATCCTTATTACATGACTGACAAGGATGAACTACAACTAGCAATGTCCCCATTCAACTACCCAAGAAACAATGCCTTGGGTTCAGTGTGTAGTCCTTGCAGGGCAATGAGAAATAACATCAGCCACTGAACAATGGTTGCCACCAGCTTTGCTGAATCATCTGCAGATGAGTGCATGGCTGAAGCACCTAAAAGTAGGGCTTTGTTGGATAGAATCAAGGGGTCTGTTGGAAGCCAGAGGGCTATGGGAGTTTGTCCCTATTTTGATCTTAGCATATAATGGAGCAAGTCAGTGGGTATAACAGTGAGGCAAGGTGTCATGCTGGTCTTGGACCTTACAGTAACTCTATTCTTGTGACTTTGGGAAACTTAAGACAAGGTCCTACACGCAAATCACTGATTGCATACAACCTTCTAAGCACTCATT